CTTAAATACGGTACACATCGGGTTTTCGGCAAGGGTTCATAATTGCTATTAATTACTACCACTAACAGGACACGTTGCATGAATGGCGTGATCGTTTAACGCTGTGTTGTATACTGAAGGTTGTGAGTCCGAACCTTTAGTTCCTTATAACACTTCATTAACCGATCGCGCCATCCATACGACGTGTCCTATTAGTGGCATAAGTGGCAGTTCTTGCTGAAACCCCTGTTTTAAAATAAGGGGCCATGAACGTTTTTTTTTTAATCCTCTCTAGTTTGTGTGTACCGTTTCCTGCACGTTCGTTCAAAACTGGAGACGCGGACCTAAAAAGTTAATTAATCAATCAGCAGCAAAATAGGGCAGTAGAGTATATTGGCCCTAACGGCCGCCCATACAAAAAAGATCTGTTAATCAATGACTAAAAAAGATCCGTTAATCAATGGGTCGAGTACTCCTAGGAAAAAAAAATGGGCCATGAACATTTGTTGGAAATCCCCTCTAGTTTACGTGTACAAATTTCCTGCACGTCAGTTCAAAACTGGCGATGCGGACCTAAAAAGATCTATTACGCAGCAGTATAATAGAGGAAGTAGAGTACATTGGCCTTAACGGGCAAAAGATCTAATAATCGATGACCAAAAAAGATCAAGGCCTATTATTCAATGAGCCGAGTACTCATATAACTCCTCATCGGAGCTACAGTAGCTCGTATTTGTTCGAAAAAAAGGCCTGGGGCGTTTATTGTTGAGATGGGTTTTTGAGGGGGCGTTAAATTCGAGGGAGGCATTTATTTTTTGGTGTAAAATGGATAATTTATATACTAAACGCCATTTATTTTCACTGTAAATGTAGAATATACAAACATGCTCACCGACAAAAAGTAATGACTAATTGATCTCAACAAGGTTAGAAAAAAATGTAATTTACTAAAGTGTAATATCATAGTAATAGAGTGTGTTGATAATGATGTTGTTTCCAGTTTTGTGTAACGGCAATTGGAGGGGGGTGTTTATTCTAGGAAACAAATAAATGCATCGGAGCGTTTATCCGAGGGTGTTTATTCCAAATGATGCTTTGAAGGGACGTTTATTCCAATAAGTACGGTTTTATGTATATTAAATTACATAATTATATAAGGCTTTTCTATCCAATATGTAATTTATATAT